GCTGAAATTGGGAAGAAAGCAAAGCTCCCTAAGCCAGTGAATGATTTATTCCCCCAAATCCAGGCAGGAGAGTGGATGTGAAGAATCAGATCAGTGAGCTGAATGCAATAAGCTGCAGTTCAGTGCTAATCAATGCAAATTCAGACACCCAGGGACAAGAAATAAACAAGGCAAGTACAGATTGGTTCCAGGCAGTTATTTGGAAGGAGGCAAAGCTGGATGGAGCTGCAGCTGTTAGCAGGAACAGGACTAAATAGGAATGTGCAGTGCAATGCTGTGCACCCAAAAAACTTCTCCTGGAGAGATAACAACAGGCTCTGGCATTTGTGCACATCACCTGCTTCTGTAAAGGTGTGGAAACTATCCAGTAGTTCAATTGGAGTTTCATCCTGACCACATGGAGAATTTTAAGGCTTTTCAAGGTTTTTATATTGTTTCACCATCCCTTGTAAAACCTCCTCAGGGTGTTTTGTGACAGCAAGTTCCATGGCCTAATTAGGAGTTTGCAAGTCAAGTGTTTTCCATGACCGTTGTAATATTTGTTGTGCTTCATGTTAAATATCTCTTTGGGGTTTGTTTTGGAAGAGGGAGAGAATAATCTGCATCTCAGTCATTGTTTGATATCTACCAGAGGTGCAGCCTGGTGGTGTCAGGCTCTGCTCCCAGGGAACAAAGGACAGGATGAGAGGAAATGGCTTCAAGTTGTGCCTGAAGAGGTTCAGGTTGGATACTGGGGAGTGTTTCTTAGTGGAAAGGGCTGTCAGGCATTGGAATGTGCTGCCCAGAGAGGTGATGGAGCCACAATCTCTGGAGGTGCTCAAGGAACAGCTGGACGTGGCACTCAGTGCTCTGGACTACTTGACAAGGTGCTGATGGATCTCAGGTTGGACTTCATGATCTTGGAGATCTTTTCCAACCTCAATGACTCTGATTCTGTGATCTCTGTAAGTTCTCTTATAACTTTCTTGGAGTATGATGGGTGTTTTCTCCTCTTGTTGTAGAAACAGCCTGGAATAGCTTTGTATTCTCATGACTATCAATGAGGAGAGAATAGAATCCTGCAGGTCAGGCTTGCAGTGTTAGTTACACCACTAAGACATGATCATAACTGGAATGATGATTTTTTTCTGCTATAACTCAGTTTAGACTAGCTCAGACTAACTCCACGGATCATTTTACTTCAGGGAATGCATTTTATGCCCTTTATGTTCTGAAGGGGCAGAGGGTGATGGCACAACGTGGACAGGGTGCAGGTGGAGCCTTGTGAGTGGAAGCTGGAATGATTAAATACAAATTAAGCTACAAAGATCCTCTTTAGAGACAGAAAGGATGAGCATTCTGCATCTTCAGGATGGTATCAATGAAGGGAATGTAGAATTTGCAGCACAGAAATTGGAGATTAGAGAGGAACTTCATCTTGAAGCTAAGGATGGAGAATTACCAAGCTCCGCAGTAGAGTGGAGCTGTCAGCAGGAGTAGCTGCACATGTTTTATGTCCACATGTACCCATAAAAACTCCATTTCATTTACATTCAGGTCTCTCTGTACCATTTTGGCAGTGTGAATGCTCCATAAAGAGGATGCAGAGAGGATGGTGCATTTCATGAGCTTTGCCTGGTGGTTTTACAGCTCAGAAGTATAACAGTGACTTGTCATACATCAGGATGCTTAAGTGAAATGTTCTGTGCATCTCTGCAGTGGTGTTGGGCAGTGATCAGCACCATCAGTGCTGATCCTGAGAGAAGACACCAATGGAAGGAAGTAATATAAAACAGAGCTTGGACATAAAATGGAATACATGTAAGCCCATGTGGATGTGCTTGCAATAAGTACCAGGGAGATCAAGGCACTTCTCTGGAGTCATTTATTTGATTGAAATGCTTTAGGTTTTTTTCCTCTTAGGCAGAGATTGTTTTCTTTCATGCCATTCAGATGAGCTTATTATTTCCTTCTTTGCAGCAGAACTTTAACTTCTCTGTTGCTTTTGTTCCCAGGCACTTGGGACATCGGCCCCAGTTCCACCCCCTGAGACATGGCTTTGATGAGTGGTTTGGATCACCCAACTGCCATTTTGGACCTTACGATAACAGAGCTTTCCCCAACATCCCTGTGTATAGGGACTGGGAGATGATTGGCAGGTAATTCAGCTCCTGGTAATGTTCTTTCCTTGGCTGTCCCTGCTAGCATTCCAGTGCTGGCAGATAAATACAAGCATAGCAATTTGCAGTGGAAAGAGGCTGACAAAACCAGCAGCTGCTTCAGAATCAGAGCTGCAAGCTCAGTTGGATGGGGCAGGATCTACAGGTGCTTCACCCCTGCAGAGGAGTGTTAGAGTGTCTCAAACATTGGGAATATCCTACCTCATATGATCTGAGATGCTTAGGACAGAGTGCCCTGGATATCCTGCAGTTATGCAGGAAATCAGTGCAGAAAAGAGCCTTAGAACACATGAACAGTCCTTCTGAGTGAGCCCAAGGCCAGTTTAATCCATTGTGCTACTAACACCACTGTGGTGTTGCTTATAGAAGGGTATAAGAGATACATGGAATGGTTCTTTTTATGTGCTGTCCACTGTCCTAAACTGAATGTTGTGTCCAGATCATTAGCAGCAATTGACTTACCTCCCATGAACTAGTTTTATCTCTTTCCTAAACTCATTTGTGTTTCTGGACTCTTTTGCAAACCCATTTGTGTTTCTGGACTCTACAACACCCTGTGCCAGGGGCTCGTCTCTTGCTTTGCGCTCACACTTTGAAGTAGGACTGTGTCCCTAGCCTGGGAATGGCCAATATCCAGCCTTACAGGATCTTCATGGTGGCTTCCATTGAAGCTAGAGCAGAATGAAGGGGAAGCCTTGTGGGAAAACACCCAGGCAGCCAGAAGGAGGGCAGGGTTAGATGGCATATTGGTAAGGAATTCTTCCCTTTGAGGGTGCTGAGGCACTGGCACAGGTTACCTAGAGCAGCTGTGGCTGCTCCATCCCTGGGAGTGTTCCAGACCAGGTTGGATGGGGCTTGGAGCAACCTGGGCTAGTGGAAGGTGTCCTTGCCCATGGCAGGGGGTGGAATGACATGAACCTTCAGGTCAGTTCCCACCCAAACCGTTCCAGGATTCCATGAATAATCAAGCTCTAACACCAAGGCCATTCTGCAGGTTGCATGTAGACCATGTAAGCATATATCTGCTCTGGAGTGCCACACTCCCAGAGATGTTTTGTCATCCCCTTGCACGCCCTAAAAGCTTCCTATAATGACTTCACTCCCTTCTCTTGGAGTCTGATTCCATTCTGTACTGAAAGACCTCTTTATTCCCACTCTTCCTGCTTGCAATAACATTTTGCCTGTTTGCATAGCACCAATCTGTGCTCCAGGGCTGCAGTCTGTGCCCTTCTTTTCCACTCACTTTTGACCGTGGTGTCCTCTCATTTCACTGCTGTTACTGTCCTGAGCACTGCCCCATGCCCTTCTTTGCTTAATTGGTGTCTAATGATACCTCTTAATAAGGTTTTCAAAGCAGCCCAAGTTCTGCTTAAGTCACGGCTTAAATGACAGGCCAGTGGCTCAGGTGTGGCCAAAACTTGAAGCCATCATTAGTTTGGATCAGTTGTGTCACTGCTTTGTCCCAGAAGAAGAAATACGGTGACGTATTTTTAATATCTGAAGGGAGTTTGCTGAGTAGCAGCTGTGTCTTTTTTGGCACCTACTTACACAGCAAGTAAAAGGGGGAAAAATCCTTTTAATGTTATATATTCCTTAGGATTGATTTTTTTCCTCTCTGATTCTTAAGATACTATGAAGATTTCAAAATTGATCTGAAGACAGGTGAATCCAACTTGACTCAGTTCTACCTGCAGGTACTATTTTAATCCTGGTTGCTAAGCCACATGATTTTATGCTGCTTTTTTTTTTTGAGAGATTTAGCTGGCACAGGATAAACTAATCTTTATTGTTGTTTACAGGAAGCTCTCAGCTTTATTAGCAAGCAGCAGGCCAGCCAGCAGCCCTTCTTTCTCTACTGGGCCATTGATGCTACTCACGCTCCTGTTTATGCCTCCAAAGAGTTCCTGGGCTCCAGTCGGAGAGGACTGTAAGTCCTGGCTTTGTGCATGTTGGTTTGGTTGGGGTTTATTGGTGTTTTGCTGGGTTTTTTAACTCATACCTCATGCTGCAGAAACAACAAGCCTAAGCAATATTTGTTACGTCCAGGTGTACATAATTTAATTGTTGGACTCAGTGATCTTAGAGGTCTCCTCCAGCCTTGATGGTTCTGTGGTTCTATGATCACTCCTCGAAAGTGCAGTGTGTGCTGAAATGCATTATTTAGCAGGACTTTGCTTGCATTGTTCTTGCATCATTTTGCTCTAATCTGACCTGAAAATCATGTCACCAGAATGGGGGAGAAGGGGGAGCCTAAGCTCCTTTGCCACTTGTGTGAGGAATGAAGTGCTGTGTGTGGCACAGCTGAGTTTTTAGAACTCAATGCCTGTTTTAAAAGGCTAGAAATCAAACCAACAAGTGGAAACCATGCCTGGAAAATGCTATTTAGAGAAAGCAAAGAGCTCTGTAGACACTGTGATCTTTGCTTCCAAGAGTTTCAAAACACCAGCCATAAGCAACACTATGTTATTACCTTCCAGTCTATGCCAAAGTGACTTTGCCTATATTTGAGACCTGTAGAGCTAAATTGATGCGAGTTACTGGTCTCTTCTGACTCTTCATACCCCAGAGAGTTTACTCTCTGCAGGTGAGAGACACAAATTGTAGTGACAACTGAACTTTATTACCTGGTGCATAAGAGGAGGATTTCTGCAGCACAGGTATAAATTAACTCCACTAAACACATTGTGCTGACACTTTTTTAGCTGCTTTTCATGTGTTGCATCTCCTTTTGCCTCAGATATGGGGATGCTGTGAAAGAGATTGATGATAGCATTGGAAAGATCCTGAAACACCTTCAGAAGCTAGGGATCAGTGAGAACACCTTCGTGTTCTTCACCTCTGATAATGGGGCTGCTCTCATCTCAGCTCCCCGACAAGGTGAGTCTCAGGTGGACAAACCTGGACTGGGGAAATCAAGGCTTAAATATCTCTGTGTCTGAGGGGAATGTTCATAGTATCATAGTATGGTAAGGGGTTGGAATCAAGCTTAGAGATCATCCAGTCCCAACCATCTGCCCTGGGCAGGGACACCTCCCACTAGACCATGTTGCTCAAGGCTTTAGCCAACCTGGCTGTGAACACTGCCAGACTTGGGGCAGCCACAGCCTCCCTGGGCAAGCTGTGCCAATGTTTCACCATCCTCACAGGTAAAAACTTCCCTTCTCCAGGATGAACAGCCCCAGAGCTCTCATAGGGAAGGTGTTCCAGGCCTCGTGGCCTCCTCTGGACCTGCTCCCACAGTTCCATGTCCTTCTGTTGTGGGGGACACCAGAGCTGTGTGCAGTGCTAGTATTGGAGTTAGGAGAATCCTCAAAATGCTGAGCATTGTGTTTAGGGTAACTTCTGTTCATTATTTCTGGTCACTGTTGGAGGAGTGTCCTTAGCTAAAGGGACTCTTTCCTCCCCCAGTGTGCCTGTTACCTGTGTGTGTTTCCTCTGTGTGCTCTGCTGTCAGGGAGGGAATAGTTTTTCATTCATTTTAGGACCAGGGTGTTTACTCTCCAGCTGCCAAATGCAGTTTGAGCTTTCTGAGGAATTGCAGAGGGTTCAACATTGCCTCATTTCTTAGCTCTCATGAAAAATATCAAGAACCACAACTATTTTGGTTACCTCACAAGTTTTCTTTTGTTTCAATGACTGGTTCTCTCAGACAGATTTGATTTTAGATATATTTATCATATATGATTTTTCTATATTGATTTTTATATATGATTTTCTTTATTGGCTTATTATAGATTCATTATATATTTATATGATTTGTCTATGTTGGTTCATTATAGATTTATTATTTATTCATTATATATGTTTTCCTATATTGGTTTATTATATATTTATTATCTATTAATGATAGATTTATCTCTTGATTTTCTAACCCTCTCTCTTCTAGTTGGAGTCAGGTTGTCTTGTGGTTCTTAGACCACAGATCAGGGAGTCTCCTGGCCTCTGATTTCAGCTGTTTGACTTGTGTGACCTGGAATCAGTCATGGGACCTCTCTGTTTGTTCCTCACTGAGCTTAGCTGCAAGGTTGGGTTAAACCCCAGATATTCCCTTGTCATCTCTGAGAGAGAACATTCAGGCAATGCAGGATTATTCTTCTCCCTCTTGTATCTTCATCTAATGCTGCTCTGGTGCTTTAAAAGCATTATGAGAAATTACTATTTCTGCCTGGAAGTGTCAGATTTCCTTTAGTTCCACACAGCCGTTAACATCCTTCAAAGGAAAGGAAATGCCAGGCAGGTATTTGGTATTTTCTGTTTGTTTGGGGTTTGGTTTTTACTTTGGTTGTTGATAGTAAAGTGTGTTAACTGTCACATTTTCCCTGTGCTGAAAAGACACTCCTAAAATCTCATCACAAATAGATATTGGGGGAAAACAAACCCCAAACAACACAACAAACAAACAAGGAGATAACAACAAGAAACCCCAAGTCTGAGCATGTAATTTGACGAGGCATTCATGCAGCAATGAGAATTCATTTAAACCCGGCCTGGTTTACAGTGTCCTTTGGAAATCCTGGTGTTTCTGGGGGGTTATATCTTCTTCTCTCTCCCTAGGAGGAAGCAATGGTCCTTTCCTGTGTGGCAAACAAACCACCTTTGAAGGTGGCATGAGGGAGCCAGCGATTGCCTGGTGGCCTGGCCACATCCCTGCAGGAGTGGTGAGTTCCTGCCCTTAGCAATCCTCACCAGCCTTGAGGGGACTGCAGTGACTGGAGAGGTCCTGCCTGGGTTCACTGGGCTTTGATTCAGACTTCCAACATGCTCAAGGTGATGTTTGGCTAAATCAGGAGCTGATGCTGCTGTTCTTGTTACTCTTGCACCTGGAGGGTCTGTGATCACACTGCTGTGAGTACCCAGGTCTTGGTCTTGCCTTCCTGCTCTACATTTTTCATGTCTTTGAAGAAATTGGAGTCTAAAGACACACTGCTAATGCATGTCC